GGGGGTGACGAAAAAAGAAGAAAAATTTAGAAAAAATAACAAAAATAAGACAAGAGAAAAGAGAAGGAAGGGAAAGACAGAAAGGAAGATCGGAAGATCAAACTCATCAAAGTAAGGGTTTATATAAAAACAAAAAACGTATCATAACAAAACAATAAACAATCACGTGATCTCGTGTTATGTTACGAGATTTTTGTAAAATTATTTTCTAAAAATATTAAGTTTAAAAATTCCGTATACATTCCGTATGATTAATTTTTTCCGTATACATTTCGTATACATTAGTTTTTTTAAAAAATGTTCAAAAATGAATTGCTTATTAAATATACGGAATTTGTATACGGAATCTATAGAAACGTACATAAAATGTATACAAAACGTTTCCTTTCCGTATACATATTTCTTATAGGGAGGGTATACGACAATATGGAAGTAGTCTGCTGGAGGATCCCCATTAAAATAATCGGAAATTAAGACTTGCGATTGCATGCGCCTTTCATCAACGCTTCCAGGATGAATTTGACGAATGTCTAGAGGGATATAATTAAACGACGCTCCCAAGTTGTTTTGAATTACGGCTTCAAGTGCGTTAACTGTTTGTCCTCTAGGAACGATAAGGTAGTTGAGATTAATAGTATCAGACATCTTGCTTTCCTAAATCAAGATCCATGGTGAGAAATTGCTTCGCTCCATTAAATCACCGTAGGTAACTTTTGTCATATACGCACCTTAATTATTTCGCGGGAAGGTTGACTCAACTTCATCCCAGTTCTTACACACTTTATATCTTGTTTCTGGGGGTCCGCAGAATAAAAACCCACAATTATTTGACTAACAAGTATATTTTACCAACATCTAGATTACCAATGATCATTTGCTGACAAATATATTTACTCCTTTTTTTGAATTGGACATGGGAAAATAATCTAAAGCATATGTCAATTACCAATTGAGAAATTCAAATTTACTTATACAATAAACAATATTTATATTGTACTAAAATAATTATGTAATTTAGAAGAGTAATTGAGTAATTGATATTTATACATCTGATCACTGATTATCAAAACTTATTGGATTGTATAACACAATTCAAATACTACTTAATATAGAGAAGTTACTATTTTATTTAAAGTATTTAAGCATTTGAAATGTTACTTTTTAAATAAAACCACAAAGCCACAATTTAATTTTTTATAAAGTTATTTCGTATGTAGTCAATAAAAAATTTTTTCTTATTCTTTTTCATGTTTATAATTTAATTAATAAAAAATATTATTTGTGAAGCTGTTCTTTCTACTCATAATAAAGTTAAACTTATGTTTATAGTTAAAAATAAAAATAGAAAAAATTTTATATTATTTGTGATAGAAAATGAAACATATTGGAATGCCATGGAAGAACCACTACTAAATTAATTAAATCAACATTATCTATGCTGCTGAAGCCAGTTATTAATTTAATAAAAGAATGATACAACAAACTAATGAATAATCTGTACAAGTCATTCAAGCTATTATTGCAAGTAGTTTACATGAAACTATACTTGGCATTATGTGACGCATTTCGCCAAACAGTTAAATGAGTTCAGCATGTTGATATCCCTACAGAGTTGGAAAGTCTTACCATTCTTGAAAATATGCGAGTAACTTTAAATGGATTGGAGACTTTAGGTAGATAAAAGAGTTTAAAGTATCTGTTGAGTGTTCTAGATTATAGACGAAATGTACAAGACAGTTCCAACGATCTTCAAACAATCATGCACAATTCATAGACGTATTGATGGGGATGATAGGGATGGAAACTCACAGATTATGTCACTGGTATTTGCATTAATGTCCAGCAAGTCTAAAGAATGCTATAGAACATTATTTTGGGATTTAATTGACTTTAGTGATGAAAATAATATTTATTTATACCTACAGTTTGTTTCAACTGACTTTGAACAAGCTGTAATAAATGCCATTCGTCGGAATCTCAAGAACTGCAAAATAAGGATTGCCATTTCCACCTATCACAAAATATATATCATAAAGTACAGGCTTTTGGTCTCATTATTCCTTATGGGACTGATGGAAACTTTAGTTTATTAATTCGACATATTTCTGCACTTGCTTTTTTACCTCACAATGAAATTCCTGCAGTTTTAATGAGTTAAAAACTTATACACCAGCAGAAGCAAGTAAAATTATAGATTGGTTTGACAATTATTATGTTTATGGGAAAATAAGTTACACATTAAGAAATGGAAATATAGTTCGATCTGAACCACTATTTCCACCTTCACTTTGGTCTGTCACTGATAATATTGAACATATTTTTTCACAGAATCAAAATAATGTGGAGGTTTGCCATAGAAGACGGGAAACATTAGTAGGACACGCACATCATGTAGGTGTATTCAAAATTATAAAGGAACTACAAAATGAGCAAAAACAAGTATATAGAAACAATTTTGCAAAGGCACCACGATCTTCACAAAGAAAACAAAACTATGAACACGAAGATCGTATATAAACAGTGTATAATGATCGTGAAAATAGAGAACTCGTGGATTATCTTCAAGGAATTGCTCACAATCTTTCATAATTTGTAAAATTCTAGTTTCGTTAGATGAATGATATAATTAAACACGTAAAATTTCCTGTCCTAACTATTACATTCAAATATAATATCGATAGCTACAATAAATAAAAATATAAACAAAATTAAACATCGTTACTTTTATCAGATTTTTTATCGGATAATTAAAGCACAATAAGATAAATACCATAATAACAACATGCAAATAAAAAACTATAGTTATTGATATGCCAGGAATTATCCATAATAATAATAGATTTGCAGCTCTAATTTAACAAGCTTTACGTGTATAAGACTATTAAGAGAAAAATAATGTTAATATTAATATTATACAGATGAAAGAACACCTTTGAAATAAGGAGATCGAGCACGTAAAATTACTGAATGTGCACGAAATTCTTTCGTATTGTTATTCTTGCTTACTTGAATAATAACATTATAATCATCAGTATCATTTAATATTAAGGAAAGGTCTTTCGAGACAAATACGTGTAGTAAAGGTCCACAGTCCTCCCGCCAAAATTATTTAGCAAGTTTTAAAGTATTTCGGTAAACATTTATTCTTGTATTTTTATATAAATGTTTTGTTTTAAGTTTATCGATAAACTAATATCATATTTTATGAATTTTTCTTTATTAAATAGAGACTCGTATTATCAAGATTATATTATATATATAATTACTATATTATGAATACATGTTGAGAAAAATAGAGAAACTATAATTGTAGACTAACGTTATTTTTATACATCCTATGTTAAAAATTGTATAAGGATGCGAAAGTAGTATTGAAAAATCAAAAAATATTACCATCTAATAATGTAACGATTTTTTAAATAATTTTTTAAATAACTGTTTTTGATGATAAAAATGTTTTGAAAAATAAGAGTTTAGAATCGTAGCTAATTTAGCTAATTTTGTTATAGTAAATTTCTGTACAGTAATGTGACCCGTTGCATCTCTAAAATTTCTAATATGAGATAAAAAAATTTGTATAAGCTCACCTATTTTTTTTTTAAAAAAAAAATAACACCTCATTTATGTGAATAAATGAATAATAAATCCGATTTTTTGTCCGGGAAGTTTGGAATTTATCGTCACGTGGGTCATACTCTGATTGGATCAATCGCTAAATATATGAAACTTGCTAAACTTGCTTCAGTTTCCTGGTGTAAATATAACAATTTTAATAATATAATAGAATTAACTTATGACAGGCTGACTAGCCTGACTTTCCGACTTTTAACAGATTATCTAAAAACGCAAGCTGTTTTCGATAACTAGTACAATAACTATTGATAATCAATTAATCAACGCGTTTTGTAAATAAATTATGCAATTATAACGCCAACGCCAACTTTCATATGCTTAACCAATCAGAATTTGAGGATAATACAAATTATCTAAAAACGCGAGATATTTTCGATAACTAGTACAATCACTATTGATAATCAATTAATCAACGCGTTTTGTAAATAATTATGCAATTATAACGCCAATAAGCTTATCCAATCAGAATTTGAGGATAATACAATATATATAACCTATCTATGCGAAAATTAAAAATCTCAAGCCTTTTTTATTTATTTGCTGGCAATATAAAAAAAATGGCTTATCTTCGTACTATTCTTCCGCTTTATTACAACCCAGGCCTTTCACCATGCAGCAGGTCTGTATGGTTCTTTACTGGGTTTCTTTTCGGTACTTTGCTTGTTTTGGCCTTTGGAAGGCCATCACTTTTTTATGATTTCTTTAATTTTCTTTTTACTCTTTTTAGTTTAGTTCTAGATTTTTATAGATCAGAAACTGGACAACGAATAGTTATTTATATCAAGAAATTATACAATAACTATTCGGACTTCTGCTCTATAAGGAACTTGAAAGAACTAATGGAAAGGGGAAATCACATGGTACCTTCCCTTTTCATTTGGATTTTTCAAGAATATCAAGAATATCCTGAGTCAGCTGGACGTTTTTTCAGAAGGTTTAATCTGATTGCACTTAATTTGATGTATAATAAAACATCAGATTACCTTTTGGATTGTGTATGTACTAATTTTAATATTTATATTTAAAATTAGCTAATCTATTAAATTCATATATTTGCTTTTATTGTTATAGGCAGCTGATTTCTTACTTCCTAACTGGATATTCCTTAAAGACTGGATGAAGGGTATGACTAAAAAAGCATTGATTTATGTATATACTAAATTTATTATTCCCCGCATTTTTTCTTCTAGGTTACCAAATATTTTTAGAAAGCATAGATTAACTCCCGAGGATATGGTTTAAATGGATCCTTTTCTTAATAGAGCAGAATTGTCCAGTTTCTGATAACTATTTTTTATTTTATTTTGCCTATTATTCGTTTGATACCTGGCTTACGATTGGGGCAGCATCCAGGAAATATTTAATTTGTAATGATGTTAAGGAATGTATTATTTATTATTGTATTTCGAAGGATTAGGGGTTGGACACTTCAAATTTTGATTTTTGGAAGTGACAGAGTATGGCGAGAGTAGGGGCCATATTCAATAGTTTTTGTATTAATAAACACAGGTAATTTTGCAATGTATGAATTAAATTTTTCGGTTTTTGTAAGTGTATTAAAAATGTTCAATTATTTTTGAGTGATCAAAAAAAAACTCATATGATATTGATTCAAATTATAAAGTTGAAATATACAATATAATTGAAGGTGAAGAAATCGCACAAATAAGTACCAATGCGTAATGAGCATCTATGAATATTTCTTTTGAGTGAAACATTAAAGGAATGAAGCTTAAACTTTTTTTGTAAACTCTATTTAAAGTGATAATAACTAAATACAGTACATAATGTTAATTACCGTTAAGACATTCAATTTATACATTTGCCATAATGACTTCTGAATGAAAACAATACATTTATTCTTAGAAGACGTGAAGTTTTTCATATACAGAAGTATTATGGGAGGATCTCACAATAGAAGCTTTTAAAGAAAATCCTATAATTTCCCTTCTTCGAAAAGAAAATTTGTAGTTTACTATATCAAAGTATGATACAATTTATAATTGAGAATATTTAAATTTCGATGTAACAATTTGTATGTTAATTTTCTTTAGTACTAATAATTTCTTAAATGGTTTCACCAAACTTTTTTTTACAAATAGTTATGGTTTCATTATGATTCTGATATTCTCACTAATGAAGGACCCAATTAAACCGATTATTATTAGCAAAAATATATAAGTATGTACCATATCCAATTTTTGTAAACAAGTTCATTTTATTTGTATGTTTATCTATATAGTACTGTATTTATTAGCAATCTTCATATATAATCGAAATTTTTCGCGCAGTTTTCGCTAAACTAAAAAAGAGAAAACAAATTTATGATTTTTTTCATTCAGTGATTATTATTGGCGTAAATATCGAGTGAAACAAAAAAAAATAAAATAAAATAAATAAAAATAAAAGTAAAGAAAATTGAAATAAATTGAAAAAGGAAGAAGCAGTAAGCATCGTGATTTTTTTTTTTAAAAAAAATTATAAAATTCAAAAGGATTTTTAGTAATTATGCTTAATATTTATTCTTTGGTTAGAAGGTTTTTTTTTTTTTAATTGAATATCTCGAGTACCGGGTACATTCGGTACCGCTAAAATTGATAGTTTCAAATTTCCATTGTTTAGTACATTAAGTATGGACTGATCTAAAATTAACAAACTAGCCTAAACAGGGCTAAACTCGTGCACTTCAACCAATCGGATTTCGAAATTACAAGAAATAAAATTCCGAGAAAATAAAATATTAAATATTCATTACTATATATCATTGAAAAAAGAAGATAATCGAAAATTCCTTTGTCTCTCTTTTTTTAAACAATCAATTAAAATTAACAATTTTGTAATATTTTGGTAAACATTTATATCCAAGTTTTTCATTATAATATTTCTTTAATAATACTATAAGAATTGCACAGGACTCTGAGCAATACATAAAAAGGTAACAGTGTGTTAGAATTCTTGAAGATAATCGTATAGCTAATGCCGATCTATGTATGGTCTCATTTTAACAATGTACTGATTATATTAAACGTCAATTTATTATTAACTGGTTAAATGACCGGGAATCTTCGTTTACTTATTTCTGTGCTGGGGAATCTCTAATTTTAGTTTAAAATAATTTAGAATAGTTAACCACACGTTATGTTTAATAAGTGACACGCTCGAATTACCATCGTAGCTTTTCCCTTGGGAAAAACCCTGTTATACCAACTCCTCATGAGTTATTACGGCTCCGATTTTCTGATCCGCCGAAGAGACATGATAATGTGAGTTACGTATTTATAGCGCTAGTTGTAAGATTAATCACGAAAATTCCTTATCGTAAACTCAAAATTGTGAACAAAAGGTCACTGGAATTTGACAAAATTAGAAAACAATATTCTTTATTTAATGAATAATAATAAAACGGTAATACAAAATTAAAATAATTCTATGAAATTTGTTTTCGTATCATATTACTTATGCGGTATAACTTTGCAAAAAACAAAAAAATAGTATCTCAGAATATTAAACAATATCGATTATGGTTCTTCAATAAGTTCAATACACCACTAAAAATAAAAGTAATAGAAAGTGATAATTTAATATCAATTAATAAATTAATAAATTAAAAGTATATAATGAAATGCTCATACATTATCATTTGCTCCTATGACTTTATCATGACAAATAACCTCGTAATAAATTTCGCCTCCTATAGTGACTTGATAATCATGACCACGTAAATATTCATATCGATCATTAAGTATTTCATTCTTAGTACTAAGAGTAATAATATCGTTTGGTTTTAAATATCCTTGATTATTTAAATCACAAAAATCAAATCTCCAATTATTATCGCTATAATTTTTCTTCATTATGTTACAACTCACTAAAAGAAAATTAATAATAATTTAATTTCTATAACCTTAATAAATTACGTGAATGTTTAACATTAATTACCTTCTAAGTGATTGGATGGAGAAGAATAATAATATTTTCTAGCACTATACTCATAATAATATCGCATCCCAAGAAACTTGTCAAATTTACCAAATCTTTGCTGCAAATTTATATAAGTGTCGGTAGTAGCGAAATCTTTATCAAACTTGATTATCCATAAAGAAGATCGATCAAGTTCTGAACCACCTAAATAGACCTAAAATAATGAGTTAATTCCAAAACTTTAAATTATATTAATAAAATAAATATAATATATACCATTTGAGATTTGCTTCCAGTTTCATAACGTAAATTTTCAATCGTACTCAAATATTTTCCCGTAGAAACATGTTTTAAAGCTACAACAGAACCATTTTTAATATTAGTGCTAAGAGCTGGTCCAATTAAAAGCTTATTAAATCTTAAAATAAGGTCACTTAAAGATTCAATATCATCTATAATATCTAAAAACTTCTTTCTAAGTGTGTATGGAAGTGTTTCAACAAAATATTCCTTTTGTTCTTTTAAATCATCAATTTCAGCATCACGACAAAGTTTACGAAAAGTTTCGATAAACTTTGATGTATCGCCTCCTATATTTTCACTTTTATATTTTAATACTTGTAATTTTCTTTTACTTGTATTTTTAAATACTGTGAAAGAAACTTCCGCTTTTAATGCGCTAACAAGTTCTGTTAAAGAAGTTACATCTTTGNCTTTTAATGCGCTAACAAGTTCTGTTAAAGAAGTTACATCTTTAGGGACATGAATTGTAGAATCAATCATCATTTTTGCTAATTTGACATTGTCCTCTGTAATTTTTTTAAGAAAACAATACGTATTAAATTGTCTCAACCATTCATCTGGATGAATATTTCCATCATATATCATTTGGAGAAGCATTTTTTTTAGTTTGGAAAAAGAAAAAAAAAATTTCGATCGTCATCGTGATTTAACTTATTTTATTATATTTTATTATACTTGTTTTATATTCATTAACTAAATAAATATAAATTAACGTGACAAAGATGATTGTGGCGTAACCACGATTTTGATTAAGACCTTGCACTAACCATAATCAGATTAGTCATATACCGCATATACCGTATAGGAAACCGGTAAAGAATGTATTGTACGTGTAAATAGGATTTACTCAATAAGTTCAATACACCACTAAAAAATTATTATTAGTAAATTGATAAATTAAAAGCATACTATATAATCAAAAATATTCTTACATTATCATTTACACCTGGTATTCCTTTATTATGACAAGCGACTTCTTTAAATACTTCTTTTCCAATATTGACTTGAAAATCATGACTACGTAAAAATTCATATCGATCATTAACTATTTCATTCATAATACTAAGAGTAATAATATCATTTGATTTTAAACATCCTTGATAATTTAAATCATTAGTATCAAATCTCCACTTGTTATTGTTATCGTTTTCCTTTATTACATTACAACTCACTAAATAATAATAATAATAATAATAAAATGTACTATTGATATATTGATTTTTTGATAAATTACTAGAATAATTAATTACCTTCTGTGTTTTGAGATGGAGACTTATGATAATTTTCTCTCCTCTTATAATAATTACTATAATTATACCGAAGTCCAAGAAATTTATCAAATCGTTGTTGTAAAGTCATAAATGTATCAATAGTAGCGTAATCTTTATCAAATTTAATTTTCCAAAAGGAAATACGAAGAGGTTCCGTATCACCTAAAAAAACCTAAAATAAAAAAAAAAAAATAACAATAATAAATAAAATTACGGTAATACTAAAAAAAAAAAGAAATTATATTATATTAATATTATATATATAACCATTTGAGATTTACTTCCAGTTTCATAACGTAAATTTTCATTTGTACTCAAGTATTTTCCTGTAGCAACATGTCTTAAAGCTATAATAGAACCATTTTTAATAAAAATATTAAAAGTTGGTTCAATTAAAAGATTATTAAATCTTAGATAAAATAGATGATATTAAATCTTTAAATGATATTTTCTTAAGAATTTATTTTTAAGTACAAATGGAAGTTTTTCAATAAAAATTGTTTTTGTTCATCTAAATCAACAATTTCAGAATCACGACAAAGTTTACGAAAGGTATCAATAAACTTTGCTGTATCTCCTCCTACTTTTTCACTCTTATATTTTAATATTTGTAATTTTCTTTATTTGTATTTTTAAATATTGTAAAGGAAGCGTCGACTTATAACGCGCTAATGATTTCTGTTAAAGAAGTGAACGTTAATTGTGGAATCAATCATCATTTTCGCGAATTTGATATTGTCCTCTGTAATTTCTTTAAGAAAACAATACGTATTAAATTGTTTTAACCATTCATCAGGATGAATATTTCCAACGTATACTTGAAGAATCATTTTTATTAAGATACGAAACGTCGAGACGAGATTAATTGGAATTTGTAAAGACGGTAGATTTTTTTTTTATGGCTCTTTTGAGGAAAAAAGAAAATAGTTTTTATATATATACATTTTATTTCAGGATTTTGTGATATTTAATAAACATAAATGAACTGCATCCCTGCGGTTAATGTGATACAGTTTATGTGGCGTGACCGCATTATAATTAAACTCTAGTCTAACTATTCCATTCACAAGTGTTTTTGGAATAATTAATAAAAGCCTAAAACCATATCAGGTATGGGCGTAATGTCCCAATAAAATAAACAACAATAATTTGCACGTGTAAATCATGAGAAACTTTTTACTAGATAAAACTATATTTTTTGTTTATTTAAACAACAATAGGTTGTCATCATCACGTCGTCACGACGTCACGTATAACTATGAAGTGATGCTATAACTATAATTGCTATATTAAATCTTATGTATCAAAGATTTATTTCAAGTAGTGCTACTCGATAAGTTCAATACACCACTAAAAAAAAAAATGAAAAAAAGATATTTTAATTACATAGTGCCATAAAAATTTTTTAACAATAAACATACAGTACCTCATCAATTCCACCGATTCTATTTTCGTGAGCGAAAACTTCTTGATAATCATTATTATCAATTTTTAAAATATTTTCATGACTACGTAAAGTTAAATTTTTTACATTTGTATTCTTTCCAAATGAAATTTTTAAAAGAACATTATCTTTGGATTCTAAATAATTTCTTTCATTTTTACTATGTTGTAAAGTCCAATCGATAGTTAAACCTTCGTTACCACCACAAGCTAAGTTTAACGAAAAAGTATTATTGAGGAATCGATAATTAATGAAATAAATTAATAATAACTAACCTTTATAATCAGAATCAACAGATAAATAATTATTAGAAGATGACTTATGCTTCAAAGTAATAGAATTTTGAAATGTTATTAAATTTGTAATATTATTATTACTAATAATCCATAAAGCATCGTTATTTAGAATATTATCACCACAATAAACCTATAAAATAATTATTTCAATATATTAAATTAATATTATAAAACTGATAGAATGTATATATTATATACGTACCAAATTATAATTAGAATTTTGATATTTTTTATTACAACTAGATAAATATTTTCCTGTAGCAATATGTTTTAAAGCTACACAAGAATTATTTTTAATAATTCTTGAATAATTCAATAAAAAATCATCAAAATTTTTAATTAATTCATTCATAGAATTAGATTCTTTAATAATAAATGAATCAATTAAATTAATAGGTAATATTGATTGAATAAAATATTTTTTTTGTTCTTCAAAATCATTAATTTCAGCATCACGACAAAGTGATCGAAATTCTAAAATATATTTTGTCATATCATCATTTTTAATTTGAAATTTTAATAATTGTAATTTTCTTTTACTTGAATTTTTAAAAATTAAAAAAGAATTTTGTTGTTTTAATAAATTATTGAGTTCTTCTAATGAAGTTATATTATTCTCTAATATCATATTATTATTAATTATAATGGGGTCGATCATCGTTTTCGCAATTTGAAGAATATCATCATCTTTTACAATTTTTTTAAGAAAACAACATATTTGAATTTGTTTTATCCATTCATTTGGATGAATATTTCCATCGTATTTTGGAAGTTTCATTTTTTTTTAAAAAAAAGAAGTGAAACAAGTTAATCTTTGGTTCGGATCATTTATAAAAATGGTACCCTATTTATATGTGAAAATCCGGTATCATTACAAGTTAAGTGCTATGTTGTATCACGTGAGAGGTAAAAAAATACATGGCGGCGACGTCAACCTCGAGCTATGGCAAATTTGAGAAATAATATTTAGCTTTTCATGATTATTGACTGAAAAAATTTTGCATGATTCAAACATATCTTTGAGAGAAGTACCAACTACAAATAAGTCGTTAAATCAGAATGTCGGTATATATATATGTTGATAACACACTCAGGATACCGAAACGTTATAACTTAATGGTATTAAATTATAATGAGGGTTGACGCTTAAATCTTCTCTTACATGGCAGAACCATCATGGTAAGAATCCTCATATTGGGGTTGTTAGTATTTCCCTAATAAGGGTGACGTTAAATTCCTTAATTCCTATTCGTTTTCTTGATAAACTTTTTATGAATTTCCTTTTGCTAATTGATCGTTATAGTGACCCGTGTTACTCATACGTTGGTATTCTCTAATTTTATAGGGCAATATTTGATATACGCAATGTGTTGTTTGTCATTATGTTAATTTTATTAGTTTTTTTTTAAATGTGTTATTTTTTAATTTTACTTTATTTTTTATTTTGTTTTGCTTTATAATTTTTTAAATTGAATATTGTCTTTTTAAAAAAATATGCCAATTGGGATTTTTCATGGTTAAATAATAAATAATTTACATTTAAATTTTCAATGATCCTTTCGAGATGTTATTTTATTTTCTTGTTAGAAATAAGATGCTCAGATGGCAATGCGAAAATCTCATGATAAAAGAGATTATAATCCATTATTATAGTGGTAAATTTTTATTATTTCTAAGGATATAACGTTCTTCTCAATAACTACGTACTTGTGGCGCAGCAAAAGCTTGAGTTAATCTTTATAAAATTAATAGTTACAGTAATATAGTACTCGTGCCATAAATATGACAATTATTAACCATTGTCAATAGTATGTTTGAAAGTTCTGTTCATGATTTAATCTTCCAAAAGCTATAACTTGAAAATGATCGTTATCAAATATTTCTTAATGTGTTTTATGAAAGTAAAAAGGGGGATAGGATTAGAAAGTTAGGTGTATTGTATATTTTCTATTATGTCCATTTAGATTCACGAAGATTATTTGTCCATCCTTTATTTCTTTTGTTTATAAAATCCTCTTTATTACAAACTTTTCTAATTTATTAACATTTTCCAAGAAATTACGTCCATTTATATGTATTAAATTTTTATACTACCTGCTCACTTAACAAATATGATTCTTTTAGATTTATAATTATTCAAAATATAATTATTTGAATTATTTGACATTGTTAGTTAAATCATTAAAAAAGGTATAAGAGCAATTTGTGACGTATTAACACTAAATTGAAAAATTGAAATTTTAAGCTTGCTTTATAAGTTCAATACACCACTAAAAAAAAAGGTTTTTAATAATATTTATATAAAAGTTGATACTAAATACATAATAAATAACTTACTTCGTCATTTCCTCCTAATCTTTCATTATGACAAATAACTTCTTGAAATGCATCATTTCCAATAGTAAATTGAATATCATGACTACGTAAAAATTCGACTTGTCCATTTAAAGTATATTGACCATTATTATCGTACAATTTCTTAGTGCTAAGTTTAATAATATCATTTGATTTTAAATATCCTTGATGATTTTCTAATTTACTAAGTTTAAAATTCCAATTTGGTTGATTACCGCTACAGTTTACTAAAAAAGATATAATAATAAAAATAAATGAAATCTTTTGCTATTTTGATAGGTATAATTAAATTTTTATTACCTTCTGTATGTTTAGTTGATGGAGATTTGTGATATGAATAACGACAAGTCCAACTATCATATGAAATACTTGTTGCAAGAAGCATATTTGATTTGAAGTGTTGTAAATTTATAGAAGTCTTGTTATGAGTAGCTAGTAATTCTTCATCATGTAGAACTTTCCATAAGGAATCTGGATCAGGTTCTGAGCTTCCTACAAAAACCTAATTTGTTTTTAAATAAATTAAAATTCAATCTAATTTCATAACAAATATACGCCATAAAAACATACCAATTGAGACTTGCTTTCAGTTTCATAACATAAATTTTTAATTGAACTTAAATATTTTCCTGTAGCAACATGTTTTAATGCTACAACAGAATTATTCGTAATTAAATTTTCTTCATCAACAATAATATCTTCGAATTTTTTAATTAATTCATTAACTGAATTTACATTTTTCATTTTTTTAAAAAATTCGCTCGAAAAGAAATTATTCATTGGAAGTGACTTATAAAGATAATTCTTTTGTTCTTCTATATTATTAATTTCAGCATTATAACATAATTTGCGAAAATTTGAAATAAAATTTGACGTATTGCCACCTTTTCTTTCAGGAATATATTTTAATGTTTGTAAAATTCTTTTATTTGTATTTTTAAATATCGTAAAAGAAATATCTTCTTTAAGTGCGTTACAAAGTTCGTCAGTATCACGAATTTCAGTTGGGAGTTTGATAGTAGGATCTACTAATGATATAGCAATTCTCAAAAATTCTTTATAAGTAGTTTTCCAAATGTAATAAAATTTTTGAATATCTTTTATCCATTCATCTGGATGTATATTTCCATTATATTTCGGAAATTCCATATTGTTTTAATAATAAGAGAAAGTCATTAGAACGAAAATAAACTGCACTTCTCAATTTATATTAATGATCTACATCGTCATACAATCATTACGCCAAAATTTACGCCCATATATATTTACGTCACTTAAAAGATAGCTAAAATCTTACCTTTAAAAAATTTATTCCCAAATCGTTCTATGAACTTTAATACAACTAGCTTGTATCACTATTTGTTTAATAAATAAATTGATTTACTAATTTAAACTACCAAATACCGAATTTTAAAGAAAAATCGTAAGAATCAATTCTTTAAATGACGACAAGTAAAAAACCATTATTACAATTCAATCTAAGGTCTAAATATATAACTAACTTCGGAGAATATGGACTTCGATTCAAAAACCCTGAAGATCACACCAATCAGAAAGATCAATGGCAAAACGTGTATTTTTATGGTAAAACACCCATATCACTTTTGCTTCTTTTTTTCTCTGCCAACCTTTTTTCCTTATTTTTTTCCGCCATTAAAAAAAGTAATATTATAGTAGTAAGTTTGAAAGGTTTTATTTATATTTAACTTTTATACATAAAGATTATATATACCATAATTAGAAAATGATTATTATTCAAATAGTTTAATACATTTGGAAATTTATGAGTAGATTTCTTGATTTGAAAAAGCTTCTTTAATAATAAATTAAAATAATATATATAGCAATATGCAAATTTAATTATTTAAATTTTAAAATTCAATAAAATATTGATGGAAATTAATTCTACCAAATTTATAATATTATATGAATCTAAATTATAATATACCTATTAAATAATAAACTAAAAAAGTATTTAAATTTTTTCATATGAATAATCAGATACCATTTCCTCTACAGATCTCCATAAGATACGTCGAAAACCAATTACCAATATAATCCTTTTAATTTATTAGGATTTGATTCAGTTATTTTAATTCTTTTATCAAATATTCCTGAACTATAATAATCAATTGATTTCCCTTTTAAAATAATATTCATATATGATTTTAATTGATTAACTCCATTATTTAATATCTCTTCTAAGGTTATTTGTTTAGTTTCATTATGTTCTTTTGACCAATATGTATATGATCTTTTTAGTAAAACTTTTTCATCTTCTTTTTCAATAATTTTATCTAAATTTTCCAAATCATTTGTATTAAACCTCTTTTTTTGATTTTTTATTAACCCAACTAATGAAATGTATTTTAATTCTAAACTAATATTATTATTTCCTATTCCTTTTAAAATGAAAATATCTGAATATCCAAATCGACCAAATCCTTTTGATTTTGTACCATCCATTACTAATGATAATTCAGGAATATAATATTTTGATGGCAAAAGATTTTCAACAATTGCCTGAAGAACAGGCTCATTTGCAGAAGATAGTGATATTTGTGATCTTGTTGACAAAAATGTTTTTAAAATTTCAATAAAAGGTACAATATTATCTGCAATAAGATTTTCATATGCTGAAGCAATAAGAAGGGCATCATTCACAACTTGTCTATATACCAAATTATCTTTATTTTGTTCCAAAATTCGAATTTGTTTTATTACAAGTTCTAATAAATAATAAATAATTATAAAGAGTTAATAAATAATATACTATAAATACAGGAAAAGTAAAGAAAATATTATAGTTTACCAGAAGATAAATCAGTATCATTATCTCGTGCTCTTTTTAATTTTTCTTTTTTATTGACTTGAAAAATTATTTTTTCAATCCATATCTTATTAAAAGCTGATTCCAATGCTTCACCCAAAGTATACATTTCACTTCCTAATTTATTATATGTATAACAGTTACGAAATATAAGACGAATATCATTTTCAAATTCTTCTGTACTAGTATATTGATTATTTTCTAATTTTGAATTTATGGTAAATAAATCCATTGGATTTTTAATGATTTTTGAAATTTCATGTTCATCATATTTATAGAATGGATGAATATTAGACTTATTATCAAGTTCTTGAAGAATATCATGACAGAAATCATTAATATTAATGTTTTTGTGAAAATTTTTAATAGGAATTGAATTAATAGGAATTGAATTAGCAGGAATTTCAATGTTTTTTTGTGAATGAGATGAATCAGCAAGCACTATATTTTCTTTTTCTTTAAATTCCTTGATAATTTCTTGCCAAAATAATTTTAATGTTTTTGCATAACGTGACCGTTCTGTGTTTACCTGTTATAACAAAGAGGTTGTTAATAGTGTGCTAAAATTTTATTTAGGATAAAAGAAGGTACATAGCCAATTCCTCCTCCAGAATTAGCAGACTTATATCAACAACAAAGTAGGACACCTGAATTGAGAAACTTGAAACCAAGGTTGTCGAACCCAGTAATTCCCCTAAGAACAAGCCATTGGATCGCTTAGGGGTTACCCTACTTTGCAAAATAAAAAAAAAACACACCTTATCTTTTAAACCAGGAATATCTTTTCCTTCATGCAAAAAACAGCCAGCCCAATGATTATCAAGATTAATCCACTTTTTTAATGAAATTGAAGTAGTTGAAATAGTTGAAATAATAATAGTATCACGATAACTGTTTAAGAATCCCCAATATGATTTTGTTGTTTTATTGTTATTTGTTGTTTTATTGTTATTTTCTGTTAAATAAGAAATAATGGCTAGAAAGATTGAAAGATTTGATTAGTTGATAATATTGCAAATCAAATACAAATTCATAATAAGACTTACCACTTTTGCCAGGATAGTTTTTGTATGTATTCATATTTATTAATTTCAAGAATCTTTGCTTTGCTAAATAAATTAATAGATAATAAATTTAAAATCTATTAATTTGACAACAAATCTATGAGGAGGGTATAAATAAAAAAAAAATCTATTGTAGATATTATGACTTGGACTGACACATTAAAATATCAAAGTGTAAAAAATTTGATACATTATATTTATATTCTTTATCATATTGACATATTGACAAAGACCAACAAAATCTAAATCATTATTAGACATAATATTAAAGGATATTAATTCATGTTGTTTAGCAAATGACTCAACTTTTATCAGTCTGACCCATTTGTCATATTGATGCATGATAAATGTAAGTGTTACAAATAATGTATAATGTCTGACCATGTCATTGTATACAATTGACAGAGTAAGATCAAAGATTATCAGATTCTAATCATAAACTATGCTTAATTTTTTACTAATTTACCGAAAATAACAATAATTTCACCTGAGACGTGAGACGCGTCAAAGAGAAATTTTGTTGCAGTCACGCGTTTAAACTGGTATTAAAATTTATGTTTAAGCCCGATTAAATTTTTTATTACTATTATATTATTATTAGAAGAGTTTAACAACTAAGCCAGTAAGTGTTAATCAAGTTTCACCAACAATAATATTCTTAAATAAAAAGAAAAGGAAGGAAAGTGACTAATAAACTACAGAAAAACTCAAAACTTTGTTTTAAAGGATGACGTTCTTATTCGTGACTAGTTTCGATAAATATTTTTTTATTAAACAATGTAAAACATCATCAGATTATAACTTGTTAGAATATGTAAAAATTTTGGGTTTATTCATAACACAATGTTTAAAATTATTTATAAATTATAATACTTAATTCTATTAAATGTACAAATATTTATTAATTACTATTATTTGATGCCTAATCATTTTAAAAGAGGAATTTTCCAAGTCTCACATGAATAATTACCTATTTCTATTTTATTGATTTTATTCGTAAAATAACATCCTCTACTGTAAGGTTTAAATACATTATAATAAACTTTTTTTTATTTTACAATTCCCATTTCCATTTTTTAAAAAGAATAATTGGACAAATAATTGGCAATTAATTTGGGTAAATAATTTTAAATAATTTGGGTAAGTTCTCAAGTTTCAGGGAATTATTTTATTAGACCTTCGGTGTTCCATTTCCCCGATGAACATAATCTTATATATTATGTTACCCTTTTAATTTTCCTTTTATTTAGTAAAAATTAATGTTAAATATCCGTTTTTTTTTTAAAAAAAAGCTATCCTTTAAAATAAACATTCCAAAAAGAGTTAAATAGGTTAAATCATTTAAAATAGTGATATCATTTTCAAAAATAAATTCCTTTTTAATGTAAATAGTACAAAAAATGTCTCTTAAAATTTGAACGAAACTTTTATGTATATCAATTGGAAAAATTATTACCTAGACAGATTTTATACAGCTTTTTTTAAGAAATTTTGGTTTTAAAGGAAGGTCAGAAAATTGAACCTGAAAGATAGATAATCTTTAAATTGGGATTAAAAATTCAGATAAAGCCCAAATCCCATTTAATTTCAAAACAAATTACATAAAGTATAATACCAGTTTAAACGCGTGACTGCAACAAAATTTCCCTTTGACGCGTCTCGTACTAATTTAAGTGAATTATTATTATATTACCTTCATAAAATATAAATTACATTTAAAAAATATTTTATAATGTGGTAATAAAAAAATAAAAAAATATTTTGATGATATACATACTGTAGTAGTAATTGCATTAAAATATAAAAAAAAAGTGAAAACAATTTAAATTTCAGCAAGGTCATTTAGTTGATAATTCTGTTGGCAAAAATTTGCAGGCGGAATGATTGTCATTTCAGTAGTAAATTAAATGTTTTATTTTAAACTAGAAAACTTAGCAGTAGCACTATAACTCTAGAGAAAATAATAGCGAATATTAACCAATATTATTCAATTTATGTAATAGGACCCAGAAATATATATAAAAGAGTCAGGTTTGAGTTTGCGTATTTTGAACTAAAAAAATCATGAAAATCTTTCCTTTTTTAGATAATTTTTGATAATGCCAGTCAGAATTTATTTCCTATTATAGTAACCGACTGACATTATCATAATTCCGGCCCTGAAAAAATGCGTACAGCTCATAGTAAAAAAATTTTTTCATCACCTGACCCCATATATATATTTCTGGTCCTTATGTAATTGTATAATTTTATAACCAAAAATAAATAAAGAATGTAAAATTTCGAGAGAGAACCAGAAGTTCCTTATAATAAAAATTTGTTGTTTAATAGATTGCATTAAAGAGTATCAAAAAATTTTTGATCATAGATTAATTGGATATATTTTTAATCCTTGGTTGTAGAGTAAAATTGTTAACATTGATTTCAACATTCTACGTATGATTTTTTCATTATGATAATTTTTTTGATATTCTACATTTTTATAATAAATTAATTTAGCTTAAATAGCCAGCTAAATTTTAATTGCTTACTACGGAAAAAAAGTTATTTGAGGTTTTAAAATATTTAGATTGAGTCAAAATATTTTATAAATTTTATTGGCTTGATTTAAAGTCATGTGATCGACTGTTTTTTGGTCAAATCTAGAAAACTTACAAATAGCCGTTAAAAATCATTTAATATTTTGTTCAGTTATTGGTATCTTTAAATTTTTAAATTAGATGATAAATAATTATAATAGTAGCTAAATTGTATTGTACCACAAACACAAACTATTAAAACAAAAAAAAATTTTTTATCCAAAATTTTTTTAAATAAAACTTTTTAAAATAGAAAATAAATAACGATATTCATCATAATAGGTTACTGTTGTAGCATCCAGGACAACTACCCGAGATTTTTGATCAGTATGACGCTTCAATCGCTTCATACTGTTTGTTACATCGTCACGACGGCGAGTCATGGGCTAATTATTATATTTAGGCAATATTTTTTTATCATGATTGTTTACGTATCAAATTGTAAGAAATAACATTCAGTCTATTTTTCAAGGAAGTATTTATACATTTAACCTTTATTAATTTTTTTAAGCCTATGATATCTTTATTTTACTTCCTAATATTCCTTACATCTAGAGTTAATGGCTTTAAGATAATGTCCTGTAAAATTTTTTAATATTATGTGTATTTGTGAGTATAACAAGATTTTTTAATTTATAGTAACCAATCATTTATCGCCAAATTCTGAGAACAGGGAAAATTACTATTGAATGTGGTAAGTATGTAGCTATTACATTTTTGAAAATCCCAAAGCGAAATAATTCAATTATAATTTAAGTTTAATTTATGCAATATTCAACTTATAACCAATTTTATTGGAGAAAGTTTTGATAAAGATGCTTCTTAAATTTTTTAAAAATTAAACTTTGTTTATTTTTAATATTTTACTAGGCGTGACCCGTCGCGTTGCGGGGATGATACTTGCCCATCAAGTAAGAGAGTAATAATAAACACTTATATTTTATTTTCCATGCAGTGTGAATAGGTCTAGTTTTTTACTATTATTATGATGGCATTAGTAGGAAATTAATGTAATAAATTACACAATTTATATGATTATACAAATAACAATGCGAGTGTTATACAGTATATGAAATATTACTATTAAATGCAAATTTTATTTATCACACGAAATAAATGTCACAGTACTGTGAAATTTATGATTTATTTATGTATTTACAAATTCATCACAAAGACAATTTTGTATAGTAATTTATTGTTACAATGTTATAAAAAAATCTTTCTTTTTTATCTTAAAAAAATTCCATTATAGAAAAAAAATTACATCCTCTGTTGAAAAAAAATACATATATATTGTTACTGTATCTCAAAGAAATTCATTATAGCCAATCTATTGTTATAGTAAAAAATATCTCACTAATATGAAAAAAAAAATTTCCCAGAAAAACTAATTATAACGATCTATTGACATGAAAAAAAAACAATTTCCCATAAATATTAATTATAATGATCTATTGTTGTTACAAAAATATATGTTAATCTATTATTGTGCTTGATACAGCCTAAAAAATATTATTATTATTAATAATAAGAATCAGGAAAAATGGCAATTGCCGCAGCGGCGCAGCATCAACCCAAACTTAAATGGTGAAAGAATGTATCCGTGAAAAAAAATTCGGTTTGAAAAAAAAGTCAACCGAAAAAGGAAAAGGGGGAAAAATTTTCGGATTGGAAAAAAAGTCAATCGGAAAAAAAAAATAAAAAAAAAATCCAAAAAAATAAAAACGTGTGGGGAGGGACAAAGAGAAAAATCGGGTTGAAAAAAGAAACCGAAAAGGAAAAGGAAAGAAAAATAAAAATAAATTCGAAAGAAAAAGAAAAAAAAAATTGGGAAAAGAAAAACAAAAAAAAAGAAAGAAAGAGGAAAAATAACGATTAAATTTTTTTAATCGGAATTGGATTAGATGTTGTAATGCCAGAAAATGCCTAGTGAATTTATTAAGTATGAAGGCGCAGTATTATATTTATTAAAGAATTTTTCTAACTATCACCGGGGTGATGATCACCGGTAACTGAAATTATGATGATCGACCAGCATTAAAAAAATATAGTGCCGGTAAAAATTGATGATTCTGGCCAACGGTGATGATTACCCCCGGTGATTTGAAGTAAAAATCTTTATTAGAAGTATATAAAAATATGAGAAATATTAAGTGTTACAAATCTCCTGGGTCAAGAGTATAAAATGACATATATGTAACGTTTCGTGTTACATAGTTCTATTTTAATTCTCTTAATGATTTTATAATTTTGAGTGATAATTAATTTTATTGGATATTTTAATGAAGTGTATAATTTTAGGGAAATGATTATTAATAATTTTATTGGTTATTTAATGAAGATCAAAATTTGAGAATGATTATTATTTAAGAATTACGTATGAATTATGTTTATCAAAAGTTAGAAGTGTATCCAGAAAAAGATATATAAGTCCGAAGTTTTAATTAGTATATTTTTTTTTAAGTTTGCGGAAAATATTAATAATTAGCAAGAGTTACCATAATGGGCGCTATTATAGAAAACGGTGGTTAATTTATTATTAAGATTCCATTTTATTTTTATATTTTGGTAGGTGAATTCGTGAATATTCATGAATTTTTATTAGAGAAATATTTTATGAAAGTGGGTTTTTGGTGAATTTTCATGGAAATAACTTTTATTTTATGAACACGGAAGGGAAAATTATCGCATTTTATTAATAATTATTTATTTTATTCGATGAATTTCATGAAAATTACTTTTTTTTATTTGATGAATTTCATGAAAAACATTTATTTTTATTAGATGAATAGATGAATTATATTTTTATTTTGTTATTTCATTTATTTTAATCATATTTTATTAATTATTTTTTTAATAAAAGAATATTCACGTAAGGGTCGTAAGGTCGTAAGGTCATCAGACCCCGGCCCTACAATGTACAACATGACTTGCCGATCAAGCAGGTCTTAACGTTAAGTCGTTAAGTCTTAACTGTGGATCAGCAATTCAAAATTAATTTGTACATGCTAATCTGGTTGATCTCAACCCAGACCTAGTGATCTACGAAAGATTTTATAGATGATTTACCATAAAATTTGTTTGTTTTATTTTTTAAATTTACATAATAATAATAATTTATTTTTTAAAAAAAAAATTCAAAAAAGAATTACATTATTTATTCATATTTTTAAATGGTTTCAAAAGGTTATAATTAAAAAAAAATAATTTTAAAAATAAATCATTATCAGTTATAATAAAAAAATTTATGTAAAAAAAAACTACAAAAAAAGTTGCAACAAAAAAAATAATTACAAAAAAAAGAAAAAAATAATAAACTATATATTTAAAAAAAATAATTAAAGGTTATCAAAAAAAAATGGGTTCAGTCTATAAAAAAAAATAGCTACTCAGGACCGATGATCTAACAAAAAAAGAATATTAATTATATAATTAAAATTAGTAATCAACCAAACAAATGATTTAATTTCGGTAACAATAGTGATGATCTGTAATTCGGAATTAAAAATAGACTACCTAATTATTGACATACATAATGCAGATCAGTGCATCGGAAAAAAGATAGCCCGAAAAAATTTTTTTTTTTTTCTATTGAAACTTTTTTTGGTTAAAACATTCCTAATTCATAACATGCACAGTAAAAAAACATTTAAGAGAAAATAATTTTTTTTCCAGTAAATAAATTTTTAAATAACCAAATGAAAACTACTGATACAACTAATACAGTAAGCAGTAAAAATTGTTTATATTGCAATAAACCTTTTACTAAGGAATTATGGTGTAAAAGTTGTATTAACTCTTTAGAAAAACTAGCAGAAAATGATGATGAAGAAGCAATGTTTTATTTGGCCAATATGTATTATAATGGAGAAGAAACAGAAAAGGATATAGAAATAGTCCTTCATTGGTATAAAGAAGCGTCAGAAAATGGTCATACTGGTGCAATGTTTAATTTAATCAATGGGTATTATATTGGAGAAGGAACAGAAAAAAATTTAGATAAAGCTTTTCATTGGTATCAAAAAGCGGCAGAAAATGGTCATACCGGTGCAATGTTTAAATTAGCTATACATTATGAAAATGGGGAAGGAACGGAAAAGAATTTAGAAAAGGCTTTTTATTGGTATCAAAAGGCAGCAGAAAATGGTTATTCTGGTGCAATGTTTAATTTAGCAAATGGGTATTTTAACGGAGAAGGAACAGAAAAGAATTTAGAAAAAGCCTTTCATTGGTATCAAAAAGCAGCAGAAAATGATTATACTGGTGCAATGAATAATTTAGCCAATAGATATTATAATGGAGAAGGAACAGAGAAAAATTTAAAAAAAGCTTTTCATTGGTACCAAAAAGCAGCAGTAAATGGTGAAGAAAATGCAATGTTTAATTTAGCCAATGGGTATTATAATGGAGAAGGAATAGAAAAGAATTTAGAAAAGGCTTTTCATTGGTATCAAAAAGCAGCAGAAAATGGTCATACTGGTGCAATGAATAATTTAGCTATAAATTATGAAAATGGAGAAGGAACAAAAAAGAATTTAGAAAAAGCCTTTCATTGGTTTCAAAAAGCAGTAGAAAATGGTGAAGAAAATGCAATGTTTAATTTAGCCTATGGGTATTATAATGGAAAAGGAATAGAAAAGAGTTTAAAAAAAGCTTTTCATTTGTATCAAAAAGCAGCAGAAAATGGTCATACTGGTGCAATGTTTAATTTAGCCAATGGGTATTATAATGGAGAAGGAACAGAAAAAAATTTAGAAAAAGCTTTTCATTGGTATCAAAAAGCAGCAG